TGGACGATGACGATGTGATAATATCAAAATTATTCAGAATCACATTACTCGATATACTGAGTTATTCTAAAGCTATGACAACTGATAACACATTAAAACGCGCTGTTAACTGAGACGAGACAAACAGCACTCATAAAAACTTGTTTCTTTCTTCCTTTAAATGTCTCCATTATATAATTTATGCATTCATTTACTTCTCTAACAAGGAAATGTTATATTGAGTATATATTGTAAAACTCTCTTATGACTTACTACAAAAAAAAGTCAATGCATATGATTCATTGAAAATATCAACCAATGCAGTATATGTGAATTTAACTGCACAATATAAGGAGAGAAAGAATGAGATAAAATATTCAGCTTGGATGCATAACCTTTTTATTTGTCTAGTGTGAGCAAAATCAGCAGATAAAGAGAGAATTACGATAAATATATAAGTGTCTTATCGTTAATAGAGAAGGCAAACCGACTCTTACATTTCAACCGATTCTGTTCACTCAGCATGGTTTATTCATTTGCGGGATAGTTAAAAAGTGTAGTTAATTTTCCGTTATATCATTATTTATTTCTTTTGCTCCTATTGTGATTATATAATTTTTACAACTTCAAATGCTTATTTATGCCAAAACAACAAATACAATAATTTCAATAGTTTTAAGAAAAGTCGATCGTTAAATAAATCAGCAATAGATCTTTAATGTGATGATAATATTATTAGTGATATAAAAAATATCTCTTTACGCTTAACTGATGATGATGAACTTCTTGCTAATATAGAAATAATTATAAACAAAACATCTTGGGAATATTAGAAATATGAAAGGAGAAAATATAACAATAACTATACTGCATTGCAAGTAGATTAGAATCAAATTTAAACTTTGAGAAAAATAATACATAAACAAGTTACACAAATAGATGATACTAATTAGCATAAAGTAGATGTACATTTTTAAGAATATCCTATTTTTTTATGATTGTTAAAAAAAATGATTTGCCATTCTCATAAAAGATCGAAGCCGCCTATAAATGATAATATTCACGTCCAATGTATTTATATAAAAAGAAAAAACGTAATATAACACAATTACGCATTTCTGTCGTTGAACGTGGTAATTTGCCGTGCAGTCTGGTAAAAATGCGTAATTATTAGAAAAATTATACATCTCTAACGTGATTAAACGCATTAAAAGAAATCATTAAAACACCGTGTTAACAAAATTTTAACTTGTTTTTTTTTAGGGGTTCCATTTGCCTGGGTGATCTTACTTAGGACATACTAAAAGTAGTATTTTATGCAAATAAAATCACTACACAATAGAATTAATTAAATTATTTCTCCAGCAAATTTTTGAGCTATTTGTCATGCTTACATACACATAATCGATATATTTGAAGACATCTAGTGGAAAGTATTTTTCGAATCATCTTCGATAAAAATATTCACTATCGTGATCATTGCACTAAATGTAGTAAAAAGAGATTGTTTGATTGTTTAAATTTATCAATTAAATAGAGTAGCTGAAAATTAAGAAGTACATTTCTAATAGAATAAGATGAACATAAAATAATTATGATATATTCGGGTGCAAGAAAGTAAAAAAAAAATATCCTTATGAATATATGGTTGGATGTTGTCATAATAATTTTCAATGTCTTGAATTTTGGCAAATGATTTTAATGTTCGTATTCTATTGATATAATATTGATGCTTATTGCATCAAACTGTAACTAAGCAAGATTCTTTACTTGTAATCCTTGTAGTTCGAAGAATTTAATTAAATCGATTTTTATTTTTTCATCAGTAATGATAAATTATTCAAGATTTGAATTTACGATCAAACCATGAATGACATACCATGACAGATACTACCGATGACTGAGCATGAATATGTGTTGAATAACGTAGGCAAACTCGGTTAAGAAAAAGATTTATATATTTACACTTGTCTATCACAGCATGTTTTTTTTTTTTATTAATGTTAATCTTTTATTATGAAAAAGAAAAAATATATTTAGTGATCCAAGTTAAAATTGAAGAATTTATATGTAGGAATGAAAAAATAGGATCAAATCATCATAGTCTCTTTCGTTTGTTATTTGAATAGAACAGATTTCATCTGTATGTTATAATATATTCACCATATGCACCAGCATCATGATAAATAACAAAAATATGTTTACCATCTGTAGTTGTATCGAAACCTTCAGGTGGTACTTTCATCGATGAACTACCAATACATGTTTTACCAATTAAAACACGAGCTAAGAACATAGTTCGTTCATTTGAAACACCTGGTCTAGTATAACTATTACTATATTTTGCATGTTCATGAAAATACACTCCTTGACCATACATAACTCCTACAAAGAATATTCGTATTGATGTTACAATATTCAAAAATTAGTTAATCTTACCATTAACACCAGCATATGTTCTATTAAAACATTCGTGTACAATTTTATCAGCTGATGTACTATTACAACCATGAAAAAGTAATCGTTCATCAGGTTGTGTATAACGTTGTGTAAACTCATCACGATGAGCAGCATACTAAGAAATTAATTAAATGAATAGATTTTATTTTAGTGAAATAATATATTCACAAAATACCTGTTTATACCAACGTTCATTTTGAATACGTTCAATTTTCATGATTTTCAAATAGTTATCTTTCATTGTAGAATTAAATCGATTGTAAATATCTTTGTATTCTTTAGAAGAATCTGAAAGAACTATTCGTCTAAAATTACCACTAGATAAATCCCAATACTAAAAATACATTTATGAAATTTGATAAGAAATTAAAATAAAAAAAAATTTCTTACAGACGGTAATGATGAATCTATACGTTTACGACATACTTTTCGTTTTCGTTTTTGATATTCTTCTTCCATAGATAAGAAAATTATTCGACATCGTTCTGATTTTTCATTTAGAAATTCAATCTTAAGCAAACTAAATATATACAAATAAATCAGAAAAACAGAATTGCATACATGTGGAAGCTTTTTCATTTGAGCATTTTCAATTATTTCATTGATTCTATATGGATATTGTTCCCATTTACTAGATGATATTTCAACTGACCAGATACATCCACGTGATAAAACTTGAATACGTGCATTTCGTAATACTTCAGCAGTTAATTGAAAAAAATACTTTTCAACATCGGATACCTAAATTAACCATACAAAAAAAAAGTATTAAAATTACGAAATAATAATTTATAGTTATTAAATATTGCGTGAACAAGAAAATATTTAAAAGAAATAATCTTGGATTTATGTTATAAAAAATGACGTACCGCATCTTTAGGACCTATCAAATCTAGAATAGAATTTTGAATATCGAGTGTTGGTATAACTCGTTTTTGTAAACAATAATCATAATATTTCTGAATAGTATCTTGAGACCAATCAGCCATATCAGTTTTATCAGTGATATGAAGTTTAAGTGAACATGATTGAGCTAATTGTTTTATTTTATTTTGACATTCGATCAATTGATTATTGTTTGAACTAGTCAATTTAATTCTCACTGCTGAAAAAAAAAGAACAAAAACAGATAATAGATTTTGATTGATTTTCTTTTTATTTATATACTTTGTTTATTGAAAGAAATACTTGTTGGTTTATCTTCAATGAATTGTATTTTATTGAGTCGATCAATAAATGCATCATAGACATTTTGTTGTTCGGGTAGCAAAACAAATGAAACAATTAATTGTAAATGAACTAATATTTTTAACTGTCGATAAGTTTCACCAATCATATATTCAGCAATTAATTTTGGATCGAAACCTAATTGTCCACAACCAATACTTGGAAAAGCTAAAATTAATTTTCAAATTTTTATTTCGCACATAGCAAAAACAAACCGATTGTTGTCAAGTTATGATGAAGTGCATATGTAATCACTGATGTAATAAATGTATCAATTGATTGTTTTAAGTTTTGTAATTGAGTTTTATCACAGATCCATGAACGAAAAACAATCTGTTTACAAGGCAAATTACCACCTTTTGTTTCAAATGCCGATGTACCATAGGATGATTGTTGATTAAAGGCATTTTTTATTTCGTATCCAGCAGCCAAGATAATTGCATCACATAGAACTCTCGATGTTGAACAAACAACGATTATATCGACCTATAGTAAATTTATTGAACGGAAAAAATATCGATTATTCTAATCAATACTCAAATATGGATGTATAGTTGTTGTTAAAAAGCTGTCAGCACAGTCTCTGCAAGATTAAAATCTGAAACACGTTGTACCTGCTGTTACTAATTATAGGGAAATCATTTTATTCTGTCGATTTTCGGACACATATCTTTACCACCCTTTTACTTAAAAATCCAGAAATGCAATAAACAAGTATATCAAATGTTATAATGAGACATTATTGATATACGGTCTGTGGAGAGAGAGGAGTGGGTTTCAAGTTTTTAACCACGTAATTCAACCAGAGATGTTATTTGTGGCTGGAAATCTGCCGCAGTCCTAGAAGAGTAAAGGCTACCGCGCCGCTGCCTCTATAGTTTTTGAGAAGTTCTTCGAAAATCTTCTCTGTGACTGGTCTTAAAATATCAGAGTTAGATTGAGCCCATGCAATTTTATAATCTCTCCAGACCAGAAGCTGGCGCTGCCGCGATAGCCATTTTGATATATCTCTCATGTTGCAGTGGTCTCCAAAAAGAAGTGCCGCTACCGTACCACTGATACCGGCACGATGAAGGCGTGGCAGTGCCGCCATGGACATTTCTGACTTCAACATTCCTTTTAGATCGTGTTTCACAAAGTAGAATTACTAGTTTACTTTATACTTGAATCACTTGTATGAAATATTGTATGTTTTAATTAATTACATAATTCTTTTAATAATTAATATATGATCAATACTTGTCTATGAATATGTTTCGGTCTATATGTGAAACATAATAAATTCATGATTCATTCTTATGAAAAAGAATTCAGAAAATGTCATCTTGTTTTCTTTCTAATAAATAGTTGCAGAAACAAGTGGTTATTTCAAACAATGCTTTAGTGTATAAATCATGTTCATTCTCCTAGCGAGTTATCTGTTCAAGCTTCTGACAATAGACAAAAAAAAACTAACCATTTGTTTTGTTAAATCTCCTGTGCAAACAATAATCTTTGAATTCCCAATAGCAACACTTGCTATATTATTAGCATTTAATATTGGTTGTACTAGCGATGTGAAATTTTGCTGTTGTACAGGTGTTGAAGGCTGAACTGTAGGTATGCTCCACTGAAACAGTCTTTGAAACCAATTGAATTTTGAGCTTACAGAAGCTGTGCTTGGATCATTCGTGTGTTCGGAGTTATTTTCTTGCTCTTGAATTTGCAATGTATTATCATCAAAATAGTCTACTTTTGCTTTAGGTATTTGAATTTGAATTTGATGCTGAATAATTTGTTTCTCTAGCTGACATTTTGATTCAATGATAGCTAATAATTGATTGAAATTATGATTGACTAGAATTTCGAAACCAGGTTCATCGACATCGAATGTTATTGAGTATGTTTGAATTCTTTGTGTATTTATTTGATTATATTTTTCATGTATGGTAGATTTAGTCGATAGTGGAGAATTTTCGATTTTTAAAACGGGTAGTTTTGAAGTGGATAATGTTTCTCGTTTGTTCGACTCGGTTTTGACAACAGATGGAGCTGAGTTTACTTTCTTATCTTCAAATAATTGTTGAACATTTTTCACTATTTCAGGCAAACCAAACAGACTAATTGTTTTTTGTTCATCAAAAAGACAAATATCTTTGCCATAATCGTCACGTTGAAAAATTTTCGTTTTAAGTGCCATACGTTCATTTTCAAATGTAGCTGATGTACATGTTACTAGAATCAATTTCTTTCGGCATAATGTATCAATGATTTGTTCATTGATGCCAAACTCAATATGTTCTTTGTCGATATGGTGCACCAGTATCGAAAGTGGAGATATCTGCTGTTGACAAACACATTTAATGTTCTTTACGTCAAAATGATGTTGAATAACACGAACTGCATCAGTAATTTTCATCCAACCACTATCTAAAATGATAAAGTTATCTCATAGAATAGAATGAAGAATATCTGACCGATTGTCTCATTGAATATTTTTGTACGACATAATGAAATTAATGTTAACAATTCGTTGAGTGCTTGATCGATACAACTCTCTCGTCCAACTATTTTGACCAAAGATCGACTATTGATGTCCGTACTGCGTTCAATATTAAGTTTAGCATTAAAATTTTTATTAAAATAAGTTTGAAGATAGCATTCGAATGTTTTATTAGTAAATAAAGCTACGGGTGCTGGAGTATTGAATGGTAATGCTACACTCTTGGTAATCATCTCATCGCTTACGATAGGCCTACAGGAAATAGAGATAGATATTGTATAGAACAATAAATATACGTACTTGTCATCAGTAGATATTGAATTAAATAATGGTGGTGGAATCACAAATGTTGATAATTCTCTAAAATGCAAGTAAATAATACAAAATCACTATTGTCGAACTTACTTTTGATCAACATTGTTAGTTGTTTCATGACCAGTAGATGCTACTGAAGATCGACTATTTATTGGATTTTTATCAATTGGTTTTATTGGCGATAGTTTTTGCATGATAGCCTTTATATTTGATTGTTTTGTAGCCAACATATAATTCTTATCTTTGGTATTACAGAATGCAACGGTTGATGAATGTGCACGAAGAATATTAAGTTGTTCTGCTACTTGTTGCAAGCCAATTGAACGAAAAGCAAATTTACCCATAAAGTTGTGAGTTCTATTGGTCAAAAGAGTAGAAATATTTTCTCTAACTAATGTACTCGAAATGGAATTACGACGTATTTCAACTCGATTACCATGAATTTCAATCTCAATGCCAAGTTCAGATCCTAAAATTAGAAATGAATAATGCAAAAAAAAAAATCACAATAAGAGAAAAGTAATTCTATAGCACTGTCTGTTAAAACTTCGATGTGTCTTTACCACTGTAAGTTTATATTGATTATTCGAACATCCAAACACTACAAGTTCGTATACTAATGAAATGTGAATATTTGAAAAATCGAAAAATCAAAAAGTACTAGAAGAAATTGGCTTTCATTTTTAACATATTGTAGATTTTTCACTTCCAATTTACAAGCATAAGTCTCGAATTATAAGCAAACACAGAATCAGAAAAAATTTTATAATCAAATTAATATATGACACAATGTCTGAAATATTTATTTTAATCTTAAAAATGTTTGAACAAAAACTATTTGGAAATTATAGTTTATAGATATGGAAAATCACTGATGGGACCTCTATTGATTTATATTCAAGTTTGATTTTAAACTGTTGATTAGTATTGTCATAATAAGACATGATCAGATCAAATTCACGTAACTATCTATTGAATATGTAGATTTCATTTCATCTTTAATGTCAAAATCGAAAATTCGATTCGTGGCGTGCGTGAATTTTACCTCGAACATATATCTAACATCGATAATCACATAAATTCATACGCCGATCAATGATTTCAGCCTCCGAAAACAAGCAGATTTTGCTAGAACTAGTCGAAAGAATGCAGTAAAATCATGGTATACTGTCGAAAAATTCCGCAAAATCGATGGATGTGGAAAACCAGATGGATTCTGCCCAACTGATTCCAGCTAGAAAACTCTAAAAACATAACAGGAATGCAATGTCCGGATTGAATAGCCAAAATTTTCACGTTCCGATCAGAACTGAACATAGATCGGGCTATCAGATACAGTCATCATATTTATGCTTACAACTAGAGGTGTAAGCCGTGCGGCTGAGCCGCCGTCGCCGCCGATAAACTCGAAAAATTTTAAGCCGCCGCCGCCGTGACAGTAGAAATTTTAGAAATTTTTAAGCCGTCGCCGCTGAGACACTTTAATTACAGCCGCCGCGCCGCCGATAGTATTCGAAATTTTAAAATTTTCGAGCCGCCGCCGCTGTGCAACCTTAGAATATCATATCTGCGCCGCCGAGCACTTTTAAAAAATTTTAAAAAACTGGCGCCGCCGCCGAACAGCCTATCGGCTTACACCTCTACTTACAACTTCCTGTTGTTTTTATAGGCATTTTTTTTTGCCAAAGTGAATCTATATACATTCACTTGAGTATGAAGATTTCTATGGATTGACTTACGTATATAATTCTTATATTCAATACTGAACGTTGGATGATTAGCAACCATTGCCCAACCTCGACGAAGATTGATTGTCGTTTGTGAAAGTATACTATTTTTATTTGATTTTGGCGATAATTTATCACTTGAAGAGCAAGACGTAGCCTTATTGTCATCGATATCATCATCTTCATCGACATATTTAATATCAAGTTTGATATTAACATCGAATTTTTGTTGTATTGTATCGGTAATTAATAGCCACTGTTTTAGACTATCAGCATGGATAAATTCGATAAATGCTGTTCGGCTCGATTGAACAGTAAATGTAAAGACATCATGAACAACTGGCTCAATAATATTTTCAATTATTTCAACTGACAGTGGATTGTGAATAGATTCAATAATAGCTCTTTCTAATTCATATACTTGTTTCAATGAGATATCTGTTCCTTGTAATTGTCTTCTAGACTTTTGTACACGATGAACCTGGTTAAAATCTAGAAAACAATATATTACTATTCAAATCAAATTCTAAAACTGTTAATCAGAACTCATACCAATGATATTATTACATTGAATCAGTAGAATCTGTTCCAGTGATGATGAAAGATCAGTTAATTTGTATAAACAATGATTAGTTAAGAAATCAATATAAAGTGAAAATTTCTCTTTTGTAATTGGACCTCGTTTAGAATTAATTGTTGATTTGAGTACGAAACTTTTTTGTTCGATTAATGAGTTCGTTCTTTTAAATTTTATATGAATACCTTGATATAGAATACTAGATTGTCCCAGAAGCTTATCTACAACTATAAAACAAAGTATTAGACGAATCGATCAACAATTACTTACCATTTTTCTCCTGAAATTCAAGTGTATATTGACGAAAATGTCCAATTTCCTTCGAGTTAAATACTTTTTGGACAACTAGACCTTGCTGTCTTAAGAATATTATAATTTTCTCAATTGTAATATGAGAAGTAATAGATTCTGATTGGAAACTAATATCAATTTGATAATTCATGTCTAATACAGGTGATACAAATGTCGATCCAGTGATATTATCTCCATTACCAACCCTATTAGATCTGCCACCTCGAGATTTTCGTGTTGAGCGAATACGTTTCGTTCTCTCAAAAACTTGTTGAATCGGTTTGGGCTGTACTGATGACGCCATATCTGGTGTTTTGGAAATAACAGGAGGAACAACTGAAGTCTACATCGACAAGTTCATTTTTGACAATATACTATAGAAAATCTTACCTTCGATAGACGACGAGATAATTGTTTATGAAGTCGAATAAGACGAACGAGAAGTATTGGATTAATATTTTGACATTTCGATTGTTCAATAATACGTCGATTATTTCCATGAATAAAATCATGTGGAAAATGACAATTTTTTTTGTTACAATGATCAAAATAACGACATAAATGAAGTTGATTGCATCCTCCCATTTTGAAAGTACATTTACCAGCAAGAAAATCTTTACATATATCAATCTAAGATACATGATAAATCACGACAATCAAAAAACAATATAGTAAAAAATAAGCTCACTGTGGGTTCAATTCGAACAAGAAATATATTCTCGTGATTATATTGAAGTTGAAAAAGAGATGAACCTAATGACTGTACAACGTGACGTACATCTTCAATTGAACATGTTTTGCCGTTATTTTTGATAATAGTACATAAATCATTGTCACTAAGTTCGTTTACATTTCGCTGAAGAAATATTGAAATAATTTCGTTTAAATAATTGATTGCCATTATTGAAATAACTTCTAAAAACCAAAATATGGTGAAATAAAAAATAAAAAAACTATTAAAGCAACTATATGATTACATAGGCAGTTTTTATTTACCCAACGTGGAAAAAGAAGAACAGAAAATAAAATTCAACACAGACTTCGCAAAAAAACGTGAATCATTATTGTCATTCTATGAAAATGCTTTTATACATGAGAGTCTATAATAGAACTGGATGAAAATTTTCGTTCTACTGATCGATCTCATTGGTTAATTTTGATATAGAACATTGTCGAAGTAATTTAAGTATAGGTCGCTTTCTAAGAATACTATTTTATTATTATTTTCATTGATTGTATGATTTGATTGCAAAAATGCAATAATAGTTTACTAACTGTTTTTTCTTCTCTAAAATACTAAATTAAATGAAGTTTTTCTCGTACAAATTATAAAATAAAATTCACAGTTTTTTTTTTTTGCTTCGTGAAAAACTAACTGTTATAAAACTATTGTCAATCTAAAACAATCTTTGATTTCTATTTGTAGCAAGATGTTTCTCATGTATAAAGAATGTCATTTATGAATAAACATCACAAACATAGTTGTCTGCAGTAGTAAACATTTCTTAACGAATATGATCAATTGTATTTGATGATGATTTAGTCTTTGAAAAGAATCAACACAATAACAAGATTTTTATCAGCCATCAAAGAATTTTCACTTCGATCAATAATATCTGTTATATAAGCATAATGAATTTTTTAAGACTTGAGACTTAATTTTTGAAAATTTCGATTATTTATACGTTGTAAAAAATATGACTTTGAAAAACCGAAGCTCTTTGGTCAGCTAGAGCATGGGGGTTACATGAGGGACCTCGGTTCGAACTGATCTGCGGGGAACAACACATTAGTTGGTGTACTTCATTTAAATATCCTGGTTATTGGATTGGCTCTCAGCTGGGCTGGTCCCTAATGATCAATAAAACACTTTTAAAAATTCGACAAAAAGTAGGAATGTTAAACACCAGTCGAATCTATGGAACCTCATCATCTAAATTCCGCAGAGTGCTCTTCTCATGCTTCGTCCTCCCTCTGTTTACTTGGATGTTTGCGGTGTTCCCACTCTTCACCGAATGTCAATGTAAGCATATAGATCATTTCTATACCACTTGTCTGAAGCGGGCATTACACGGTCAACAATGGTCAAACCATTTTTTTGAGTTCGTCTACAATGAAATTCCTCTTAGCAATAGGTGTACTAAATATTGGCAAAATTACACTAGAGCTCTAGCGAAATCGAAAGATGGTGAACTATTAACAGAACAATTGTTCCTTAATCTCCAACGATTCAGGTGGTTAAGCCGTAAAAACAGAATTAAAGGATTGAGGAGGTTCAAATGTTTTATTCAGCATACAATCGTTCTCGAGGAATGTTGGGAATGGTTGGATCAGAATCCATTAACAAATACAATTATACAGTTCCCTCAGGAAGATTTGGATCTGTTAGAAGAATTCTCAGAAACCTTTTGAAGTTGCAGATCAACTTGATATATCTCTCTTTCCTCACTACTCATTCCCCGATTATGATTAAAACACGTCGCTGTTGATCTATAGCTAGTCTTGTTGTTTACATGGTCTGATCTATCTTTTGCTCGTGTTTTTCTAGTCGTTACCAGTCTAGGACTGTGGTTCTCTTTTATATATGGTCCCTTCTTTTTCTTTCTTTTTTTTTTTTGTTTTTTGTTTTTTTCTACTTTTCCTTTCGTCTACTCTCGTTGTGTTTCTTCTCGCTTGCTCTTATTTTTGTTATCATCATCTCGTCGTTCTCTTCCTTTTCCTTCTCCATTCTGCTGTTCATCTGTCTATTTTTTTTTATATACCTTTCTTTCTTTCTTGTTCTTTTCTCTTTTTTTTTTGCAACACACTGAAGATCAAGGTGAACTTCTCTTTGGACTTTTAGGCCGATTTGGGCACAGATCCCCTCAACTGCTTAATAAAAAAAATAAAAACATGACTTTGATTCATAGCCACTAATTTATTGACCTTCAACATTAGGCGTATCAAGAAACTTTTTTCAATTTTATATGAACTTAATTTTCTTCCTCAAAATGTTGAAGAAAAAGTAAAACAGAGTTTTTTGTTTTCATTTTTTAACATGTTTCTGAGTCGAATAAAACTATTGCAAAATAAGTAGCCGAAAAAAAATAATGGTAACTCTGTTGAAAAAACGTGTAGATTTATCTCTTAATATTGATTTGTTTCGATCATTTCTCTTTAGTTTATCTATTGTTTCCATCACTATATTCTGATGTGTATGTGTTTTCCTTCTTTTCTTGATATATACTTCCTGTATGCAATAACATGAACTATACGATACATAAAGAAAAAAAACACAATACAAACAACTTGAAATCTATTATATTATATTAAACACCGAATATCTGAGACAAAACAGTTCTTACATCTGCTCGAAATAGTTCGAAAGATCAAACTATTTTACAACTTTAGCATTAGCAATTGTCGATAAAAATGATTATTTGTATAATAGAATAATGATAAAGTTAAGATATTGTTGTACTGCTAGACGAGAATAGCATGCAGTAGTCAAAAAGTTAATGGATGATATGTATCTTTAATAATGGATAAGCATCAACGGGAAGAGAAAAACATTAGGTGGCAACACATATTCTCAGTCGAATGTTACTTGATAATGTGATTAATCAAAAAGTTCTATCCAATCAATAATAGATTGTCCAAAAGTTATAAAATCAGAAAAAGTATGAAAGCAATTAGACTGTTTTTGGTTTTGAACTTGAATCGCTCGTATCATCTATAGTGTGATCTGATTTACTTTAAAAGATGTCGCTAGTTTTTTTTATATTGTTAACCAAATAATAAAACAAATTGTTTTGCCATAATTAGGAAAGATCATCTATATTCATAGAACTCAAAATATTTGCTTAATAAATGTGAGCTAGAAACACGCTTCTATCAATGATGAAAAATTACTTCATTTCAATCAAAACATAAACAGAGACTTTCACTTTGATTGATATTTCGGAACTTCCGGAACACTCTACATATTGAGAGATTAGATTAAATTTTGGTAGACTTGAATGTTCATCAATTTGTTTTTGTTGTTCTTTGAAAAATTGTTAATATAAAATATTTATTTTAAGAGAAAATAATTAATCATAATATTTTCACTTATATGTTACTCCGTTTATGAAAAATTACAAGTTTTTATTTTTTTATTGCTTGTCATTTATATTGTTCTAAATGAATATAAATATATACTACATAAGAAAAAGAGTCTGATAATTTGTTTTAATTCGCTTCGTCCTCGTTGATTATTTTAGGATACAATATCGATAGGTCATTTTCATCTTTGTCTAATCACAGATATAGGCCATTCAATTAAATCATCGTGACAGTCAGGTTTGAAGAAAATTTTCCAATCACCACCATCAAAAGGAACATTTAATAGAATAATTCGGTCACCGTTCTACTTGTGATTCAGAGCTGAACAAGCGAGAAAATTTACCAATATTTTTTAGGTATGAGACAGTTTTAATCATTTCATAAACCTGTTTCATAGTATAAAGTTTTTAAAACAAATGACAATTTTTCACTAGATATTATTTGCATTGAAAATATTTTCAAGTTAGGATACCATCGTTAAACAAAACTCTAAAAATCCAATCATGTTACACTCTCAAATTTTGCTCTTCCAAATTAAATCATACGTCAAAACTTTTTGAGCAAATTTCTGAGTGTCCTCACAACAACTCTATATCACCGACGAAAATATTTATTTTATTATGAAACAACGTTAATTCTTCTTTTCTATTGTTAGAACTCTTGTTTATGTTGTAAATACTCTTATATGTACACTGTCTGTATTCTCTATGGTTACTCATTCTTTGATATCAATTATCTATATATATTGACAACTAAAACAAATACGCATATTATTGAAATTGCAGTTAAAACTATTGTAAAATTTTGCGATGCAAATATTATATTTAGAAACAGTACATTTGATAATAATAGATTGATATTGATGATAAATACAAGATTTTTTTCAAAAACTCCATAAAAAAAAATCTCTCATTCTTCTATAATGTTGTTTACATATTTTACACATTCTATAGCAAAATAAATAATTAGGTATGATTCTATTTGATAAATATTGTAAGTATCATATTTATTTCTTTTGTTTATTATAGTTTATATGCATATTAATATTCAGAAAAAAAAAAAAAAGAATAAGTTATAAATCAAATAAAGATAAGATTTATTATTAAAAAAAAAATGATTCTTCTGTGGAATCGCTTTTTTTTGTTATGTAATCAAATGATACTAGTTTTTTATATTAAGTTATACATGTTCTAATTGTCGAGTCAACTATTATGCTTACTTGCATATTACATATGCATATGATACAACCGTGAAAAATACACTATATCGATTTTCGGGTTGCGTGCATATAAGAAGAAACGAAACGATGATCAAATGATACATAGTCATTCGTAACCCATCCTTTATAATGTGTATAACTATCAAGTAATTTTGATCGATTTTTCACCGTTTTCTACGTGTTCGCTCATTATAGATGCTGACAAAATCATTTGATAATCTCGATTATAATTCAAAGAAAATTGTAGTCTTTTTCTAGTTAGTTATATGATTGATCATTAATTCTATATTTTCAATGATGATCGATAAGGTTATTACTTCTTTTTCTTTTTTCGTCTACTGATTTTAATATAAAAATGTTAGATTGACCATAGATTATGTAAAAGAATATTGAAAGTGATAAAGCAGCTCATCAAAAAAGACTAATATCATAAGAAAAGAACGACAGATATAAAAATCAGCATGAAGGTAATAGAAAAGAACATATTATAGATCGAATTAAACAGATGCTATTCAAGGTAATTATGAAAAAGAATAAACAGAAAGTTCATGGTTATAAATAATCGAATAATCAATCATATCACATGAGAACCTCTATAC